CCCTGTGGGAAAAGAGTGAAGACCTGGTCCTCAAGAGCAGAAGCAAGTCTGGAGGGCATCTACTCAGCACATCCTATAGGAAGGAAGAGTTGTTCTAGGTGTTCAGAGCCAAATAATATAGCAGTCAAGAAGGTAAAGTAGAGGAAAGCAACATGGAGCTTATCCCCCAAACAGGCGCTGGATATGACCATCATTGGTTGCCTTTCCCATCTTTTGTGCTTAAAGACGCTCTGGCCAATAAGAAGCTAAGGGCTTCCCTGGTGGCTCAGTGGTTGAGAGTCCGCCTGCTGATGCAGGGGACACGGGTTTGGGCCCTGGTCCGGGAAGATCCCACATGCCGCAGAGCGGCTGGGCCCGTGAGCCATGGCCGCTGAGCCTGCGCGTCCGGAGCCTGTGCTCCGCAACGGGAGAGGCCACAACAGTGAGAGGCCCGCGGACCGCAAAAAAAAAAAAAAAAAAAAAAAAAAAAAAAAAAAAAAAAAAAAAAAAAGAAGCTAAATGCTACGGGGTATTTGCTCACCTTCTGTGTTCCTACCTCTCAGTTCTCTCCAAATAAAAAAGCAAACACTGACTCCTCTGTATGCCTATGGTCAAAACCATCACTCGCTGGTGTAAGAGTGAGACTAAGTCTCTGCAAATCAACAGACTTGTTCACAGCTCAAAGGGTGCACCCTACAAATTTGTAGATAATAGCACCATTTTCATCAACAACCCAAAGGAGGGAAAAGACCCTTTTGCCAAACATACTGTAACATCCAGCTTTTTCAGGATCACAGATAGACACCTCAGCTACTTTCTAAACATGACACACGTAACCATTTTGATGAAGTCACTTAAGACACAAACTCAGTTTCTTTCACTCACCCTCCCCCACCCATAATCCTTTATTAATAAACCCCAAGTCATCCTAATCAATTGCTTCAAGCATTTTGCTCACAAATGAGTGGCTCCATCTCATATATAAGCCATCCTCTGTCTAGAGCTTGAAACTGGGACTTTTCTTCTCTTACATACAAGATCCACATTGGGTAACAGGCAAGGGCAAAGGGGCTGCACCTGGGAGGCAGAGGTGAAGTCCATGTACTGGTGGCACTGCTCACAGTGGTGGAAGGTGTTGTAGGCCGCGTACTTCGTCAGCATCATGGACACGGCTTCTCGTTTCCGGGGCTCCTCAACTTTGGATTCCTTTATTGCTTCTGTGTATAAAGGGGCAAAAGACCATCCCGTGATGTGCCTGAAGCCCCTATGCTTGGGAAGAAAGTTCCCCACTCCCCAGAAGGGCTTTTCCCAGGATTCTGTAACTTATGCCCTGAGAGGCAGCTATGAAAATGAAAAGGTGACATATATGTGTGTAAAACGAGAGAAAAGCAGAGGAGAATGAATGAAGCCACTCTCAAAGATTAAACTGCCCCAGGCCTCTTGCCCTCATTTAGGTGAACCCTTGACCTTTAGCCTCCACTTGCACTGACCTTGTTTGACCCCTGCCAGCTTCTCAGTGTATACCAGGCTCATCAAACTGTACTTGGGGTCATGCACACTGACGTCAAAGGGCATTTTACTGAAGCTCTCGATGTCAGGCCAGGGCTCTCCCTCTGACTGGCTCACTTCACTGCTTTCGCTGTGATCTAGGCCAAGAAGAAAGAAAGTGCACAGAGCAGGCAGACCAGACCGACTGGCCTCCCTCCCTCTCTCTCAAGTGTCAGGGATGGTTGTATGTATGTATGTTGTCCGCCCAGGTGGGTGGACAAAGGCCTTTCTGAAAAATGAGCTCCCGTGTCCAGGGTAGAGGGAAGCAGACTGTCCCTTCATACCCGCGCCGGGAGAGACACTTGTCCTCACTGGTCCCCATCATTAGCCTCTGCACACCCAGTCCACACACTTCCACAACTAGGAGATCAACTGGTCTCCCACCCCAGCCCCCCAAATTGCCTTAAAATCTTATTTAATTTTGGATGATCTGAATTCTGTCTTAGAGTTTTAGTTGTGGGATTTTAAGATGTTGATGCTGAAGAGGTTTCAGGGACACACCGAACAAGATTCAGTGTCTGCTGCTTATTACGAATCACCCAGAGCTTGTAAAATCCCTGTGCTCAGGCCACACTGCCCAGAACCTCCTTCATCACTCAGGCACCTATCGTAGTGTTTAAAGCTCCTTAAGTGGTTCCGACATGCAGTCCAGGTTGACAGCCTGGGGCCCTGGGTTTGAGTCCAGGCCCCACCACTTGTGACTTCACACCTGCAGGCACCTTCACCTCTCAGGGTCCCCTGATTGTTGTAAAGATTCCAGATGGCATATTGAAAGTGCTAAGACAGTGGCAGGCACATGGTGGGTGTCCAATAGATGATATTTGTTATTAATACTAAAAACTATAAGATCAAGCTGAAGACAACGTTCAGAGTAAGAAACGAAGAAAAAAATTCCAACAACAAAAAAGGCCTAAAGACTATAGAATTACAGCTATTAGCTTTTAAACACAATACTGCTTATTTTTATATCCCTGAGCATTTTATGTAAAAGTTATTTTTTTAAGGGCTTCCTTGGTGGCACAGTGATTAAGAATCCGCCTGCCAATGAAGGGGACATGGGTTTGAGCCCTGGTCCGGGAAGATCCCACATGCCGCAGAGCAACTAAGCCTGGGTGCCACAACTACTGAGCTCGAGTGCCACAACTACTGAGCCTGAGCACCACAACTACTGAAGCCCGTGCACCACCTAGAGCCCGTGTTCCACAAGAGAAGCCACCGCAATGAGAAGTCCATGTACCGCAACAAAGACCCAATGCAACCAAAAATAAAAATAAACTTATTAAAGTTATTTTTTTAAGTTTTATTTTAAAAGTATGCATTTTATTTAAAAGTTAAAGCTTATTCTAGTTTTTTAAAAAGGCATCCTTGTGCCTCTCCAGAGCACCACTGCATTCACCTGCACTAAAATGAGGGTGAAGGAATAAAGCCAAACTAACAGTGCTTCTCGTTACAAAGGCCAGGTTTGACTCTCACAGCTGTAGGCCCTGTAGCAGGATCTGAGGCGAAAAGTAAAGGCCTCTCCTGCAGCACCAAGGAGCCTGGGGGAAAGTCAGCAGATGATGGCCCCTCAATTCCTGTCTGCTTGGCTCTGCCCTTGCACCTGGGGCCCAGTCTGCTCCATGCAGCCCAGGGTGTTTCAGTCCCCTCTGTGGTGGGCCTGGGGGTCTGGTACAGCTCAGCTGGGGACACAAGGAGATGTGGATAGGAAGATGGAATTGTGTGTGTCTGTGTCTGGAATCATGGATGTGAACTGGTGAGGATGGAAATAGAGCCAAAAGCCATAGTAAAATGATTAAATACGGCTGATTTTACCTAGTCTTGTTCTGAACTAAACTAGTCTCTTGGGCTGGTCACAGAACAGATCCAACTATTCAGGAAAAGCCAGTGAGGGGAGGTCTCCAAGGGCTAATCTGATGGAAGATGACAAGGCCTTTCCCTTTTCTGGACTCATCTCTGAGGGGCTGGGGAAGAACTACCACTTCTCTCTCCTGCCCCTACCCCTCCCTGTTCCTTCCAGCACAGTCATTCTGTTCTGAGATGTGAAGCCATAGTTTGAAGCCACACTCCCCCTGGCTGCAGAGCTAATGCTGGCTGACCCCTGCTCATGTCCCCTTTCTGGCCTTGCTGGACGGGCTGCAGAGCGGAACTGCCTCCTTCACAGGTGACAGCCGGGGTGGAAGGGCCAAGAAGCCGGGCAGGAGGCACAGGCTAGTCTGTCAAGCACCAGCTCCTGCATCTTACTGCCAGTGCCAAGAGGTTGTTTACGGCACCAGGGTTCTGTTCTGCTCCTGGAAGTTCTTTCATCGTAGCAACCCACACACCTTCCCTCGGAGCCAGCAGGCAAAACATAACGTCTACTCTGACGAACCAACAAAGGCCTGGTTATCCAGAGTATAAAACATGCCCTGGACCCTTAAGCAGTAGACCACTGCACTCGAATTTTAAACCTGGACAGTCTGACCATCTGAGCAGTGAACCCACCTGACAGGGCTTTAGGAGATGCCTCTTTGCCCAGCGTCGCACAGGACACAGAGGGGATCGGGGGTCGAAAGAGGGGAAGACCCACCCCGACCTCAGGGAGCTCAAAGCGGCCACAGCTTGCTTACAACTCTTTGCTGGCTCACGACCTTTAACCTCTCGAGAACCCTGCCCATGAGCGCATGTATACCTCCAGTCTGACGCGGGAAGCTCCGGCTGTGATGTTAATACCCACGCTGCCGGCTCGGAACTCACCGGTGTTGATCTCTGCCTCGTCGTACACGTCCACCTCCAGGAGCCTGATAAGCATGCGGAAGAGGATCCTCAGGAACTGCAAGTAGGAGCCAGTCTTCCCCACCTGGTGAAGAGAGGTTTAGGGAGGAGAGAGGCGGAAAAGAGATTTCACACGTGAGCTCTCCCGCGTCTCCCTGCAGGAGTGGGGGGCCTCCGTGCCCCGACCACCGGACCCCAACGCGAGACCCCCCTCCCCCCTCTCTGGCCCTTCCTCCGGAGCCCCCA